AACACTATCACCTACTGGAGACGATGTAACACTGTCATCTACTGGAGACGATGTAACACTGTCACCTACTGTAACACTGTCACCTACTTGAGATGATGTAACACTATCACCTACTGGAGACGATGTAACAGTATCACCTACTGGAGACGATATAACACTGTCACCTACTGGAGACGATGTAACACTATCACCTACTGGAGACGATGTAACACTATCACCTACTACAGACGATGTAACACTGTCACCTACTAGAGACGATGTAACACTGTCACCTACTAGAGACGATGTAACACTGTCACCTACTACAGACGATGTAACACTGTCACCTACTGGAGACGATGTAACACTGTCACCTTCTAGAGACGATGTAACACTGTCACCTACTACAGACGATGTAACACTGTCACCTACTGGAGACGATGTAACACTGTTACCTACTGGAGACGATGTAACACTGTTACCTACTACAGACGATGTAACACTGTCACCTACTGGAGACGATGTAACACTATCACCTACTGGAGACGATGTAACACTATCACCTACTGGAGACGATATAACACTGTCACCTACTGGAGACGATGTAACACTATCACCTACTGGAGACGATGTAACACTGTTACCTACTACAGACGATGTAACACTGTCACCTACTGTAACACTGTCACCTACTTGAGATGATGTAACACTATCACCTACTGGAGACGATGTAACACTATCACCTACTGGAGACGATGTAACACTGTCACCTACTAGAGACGATGTAACACTATCACCTACTGGAGGCGATGTAACACTGTCACCTACTGGAGGCGACGTAACACTGTCACCTACTGGAGACGATATAACACTGTCACCTACTGTAACACTGTCACCTACTGGAGACGATGTAACACTGTCACCTACTGGAGACGATGTAACACTGTCACCTACTGGAGACGATGTAACACTGTCACCTACTGTAACACTGTCACCTACTGGAGACGATGTAACACTGTCACCTACTGGAGACGATGTAACACTGTCACCTACTGGAGACGATATAACACTGTTACCTACTGTAACACTGTCACCTACTGGAGACGATGTAACACTGTCATCTACTGGAGACGATGTAACACTGTTACCTACTGTAACACTGTCACCTACTGGAGACGATGTAACACTGTCATCTACTGGAGACGTTGTAAGACTATCACCTACTGTAACACTGTCACCTACTGGAGACGATGTAACACTGTCACCTACTGGAGACGATGTAACACTGTCACCTACTGGAAACGATGTAACACTGTTACCTACTACAGACGATGTAACACTGTCACCTACTGGAGACGATGTAACACTGTTACCTACTGGAGACGATGTAACACTATCACCTACTGGAGACGATGTAACACTATCACCTACTGTAACACTGTCACCTACTGGAGACGATGTAACACTGTCATCTACTGGAGACGATGTAAGACTATCACCTACTGTAACACTGTCACCTACTGGAGACGATGTAACACTATCACCTACTGTAACACTGTCACCTACTGGAGACGATGTAACACTGTTACCTACTGGAGACGATGTAACACTGTCACCTACTGGAGACGATGTAACACTGTCACCTACTGGAAACGATGTAACACTGTTACCTACTACAGACGATGTAACACTGTCACCTACTGGAGACGATGTAACACTGTTACCTACTGGAGACGATGTAACACTATCACCTACTGGAGACGATGTAACACTATCACCTACTGTAACACTGTCACCTACTGGAGACGATGTAACACTGTCATCTACTGGAGACGATGTAAGACTATCACCTACTGTAACACTGTCACCTACTGGAGACGATGTAACACTGTTACCTACTACAGACGATGTAACACTGTCACCTACTGGAGACGATGTAACACTATCACCTACTGGAGACGATGTAACACTATCACCTACTGGAAACGATATAACACTGTCACCTACTGGAGACGATGTAACACTATCACCTACTGGAGACGATGTAACACTGTTACCTACTACAGACGATGTAACACTGTCACCTACTGTAACACTGTCACCTACTTGAGATGATGTAACACTATCACCTACTGGAGACGATGTAACACTATCACCTACTGGAGACGATGTAACACTGTCACCTACTAGAGACGATGTAACACTATCACCTACTGGAGGCGATGTAACACTGTCACCTACTGGAGGCGACGTAACACTGTCACCTACTGGAGACGATGTAACACTGTTACCTACTGTAACACTGTCACCTACTGGAGACGATGTAACACTGTCACCTACTGGAGACGATATAACACTGTTACCTACTGTAACACTGTCACCTACTGGAGACGATGTAACACTGTCATCTACTGGAGACGATGTAACACTGTTACCTACTGTAACACTGTCACCTACTGGAGACGATGTAACACTGTCATCTACTGGAGACGTTGTAAGACTATCACCTACTGTAACACTGTCACCTACTGGAGACGATGTAACACTGTCACCTACTGGAAACGATGTAACACTGTTACCTACTACAGACGATGTAACACTGTCACCTACTGGAGACGATGTAACACTGTTACCTACTGGAGACGATGTAACACTATCACCTACTGGAGACGATGTAACACTATCACCTACTGTAACACTGTCACCTACTGGAGACGATGTAACACTGTCATCTACTGGAGACGATGTAAGACTATCACCTACTGTAACACTGTCACCTACTGGAGACGATGTAACACTATCACCTACTGTAACACTGTCACCTACTGGAGACGATGTAACACTGTCATCTACTGGAGACGATGTAAGACTATCACCTACTGTAACACTGTCACCTACTAGAGACGATGTAACACTGTCACCTACTAGAGACGATGTAACACTATCACCTACTGGAGACGATGTAACACTGTCACCTACTAGAGACGATGTAACACTGTCACCTTCTAGAGACGATGTAACACTGTCACCTACTACAGACGATGTAACACTGTCACCTACTGGAGACGATGTAACACTGTTACCTACTACAGACGATGTAACACTGTCACCTACTGGAGACGATGTAACACTATCACCTACTGGAGACGATGTAACACTATCACCTACTGGAGACGATATAACACTGTCACCTACTGGAGACGATGTAACACTATCACCTACTGGAGACGATGTAACACTATCACCTACTGGAGACGATGTAACACTGTCACCTACTAGAGACGATGTAACACTATCACCTACTGGAGGCGATGTAACACTGTCACCTACTGGAGGCGATGTAACACTGTCACCTACTGGAGACGATATAACACTGTCACCTACTGTAACACTGTCACCTACTGGAGACGATGTAACACTGTCACCTACTGGAGACGATGTAACACTGTCACCTACTGGAGACGATATAACACTGTTACCTACTGTAACACTGTCACCTACTGGAGACGATGTAACACTGTCATCTACTGGAGACGATGTAAGACTATCACCTACTGTAACACTGTCACCTACTGGAGACGATGTAACACTGTCACCTACTGGAGACGATGTAACACTGTCACCTACTGGAGACGATGTAACACTGTCACCTACTGGAGACGATGTAACACTGTCACCTACTGGAAACGATGTAACACTGTCACCTACTGGAGACGATGTAACACTGTCACCTACTGGAGACGATGTAACACTGTCACCTACTGGAGACGATGTAACACTGTCACCTACTGGAGACGATGTAACACTGTCACCTACTGGAGACGATGTAACACTGTCACCTACTATGTAACACTGTCACCTACTGGAGACGATGTAACACTGTCACCTACTGGAGACGATGTAACACTGTCACCTACTGGAGACGATGTAACACTGTTACCTACTACAGACGATGTAACACTGTTACTTACTGGAGACGATGTAACACTGTTACCTACTGGAGACGATGTAACACTGTCACCTACTGGAGACGATGTAACACTGTTACCTACTGGAGACGATGTAACACTGTTACCTACTGGAGACGATGTAACACTATCACCTACTGTAACACTGTCACCTACTGGAGACGATGTAACACTGTTACCTACAGGAGACGATGTAACACTGTCACCTACTGGAGACGGTGTAACACTATCACCTACTGGAGATGATGTAACACTGTCAACAACTGGAGACGATGTAACACTTTCACCTACTGAAGACGATGTAACACTGACACCTACAGGAGACGGTGTAACACATACTGGAGACGATGTAACACTGTAACCCACTGGAGACGAAGAATCGTGCATAATAATTTTAACTGTAAAACATTAATAAAAGACGTTTATGGTTGACAATGATTTTTATTTACATTCCAAGATAACATGTTATGTTTACGATTACTACGAGCTGACTGCTGGTCTCAAATAAAAATATACAAGTAACTGATATTCCATGATAAAGTATTTCTACATGATGAAAAATTTATTGGTATGTCGATTTGATGGACTAGCACGATATGATAGCTCTCCCTGAGTTCGCGGCGATATGGTGATGTATCGTGTGGTCCTGTCGATATGGTGATGTATCCTGAGTTCATGGCGACATGGTGATGTATCCTGAGTTCTTGGCGATATGATGGTTGATCTTGCGCTTTCTTTATACTCTAAAACAAAAACGATAAAACAAGAAAGGTGTGTCAGTTAATTCAGTCCAAATATATAGATGGATATGATGAATGATTCGTTACAATGTTTTATTACTAAAATGTCAAAATTAGAAATCAAATTTCCAAAACCGAAAGTATTAAAAGATGATAAGTTGTGCTTTGTCATTGTTTTGAGAATTCCGCTGAATGAATCATCATACATGGTGAATTATACAAAGGAACACATAGACATGTTTTAAGCAGTATTTTGGCCTGACCCTGTTTGTTTGTACCAATAATCCAAGCTTACCATTGTAGCCTGGTATGATCAGGCACACGTATCTGTACCGTTGATTGACTGGCAGTTGTCCACACTCCTTCGTCCTCGAGGATTAATACCTGTTAAAGGGTAATTACATATTTACTAAATGCCAAGAATAACATTGTTATTATTTTTATGTTATTTCAATTACCTATGTAAAATTAACTATGCATTAGTTTTCTTCAAGATCTAGGAAAAACTTATTCTGGAGGGAAATCTCAAATAAGTCATAATTATGAAGATGAATAAGTCAATATATCGTTTTAAATTCTGATATCTGGCAATGGCGACCCTCCGTCGAACAATATCTGTATCACGTCGTTAATACACACTTTGTCCTAAACAAAGTCCATTTAAGCACGTGTTGCCGGCGGGACATCTCGAACAGGGCGGACCTCTCAAGAAGGCAGGCTCACCTACCCAGTTCCCCCTTCAAGTAAAATATATAGGTATGCATTATTTATGATACAAGTCAAACCCATGACAAGTGACAGACAAACTCACAACACAGGACTTCGAGAAGTAGATAGAGATAATAAAGAAGTTTTACGGTCGCCATAGTAATCTCATTGTAAATGTGTCATTTTCTTTGTGTGATATGAAGGCCAGTTGCCTTGTTTGAGAACGTGACATTACTTACTTGGATTTACAAACATTTATATGACGTTGTCGTCGATCAAGCCGAAGTCTCTTACCCTGCCGGAATACCTGTGCTTATTCTAATTGTACTTTTTCTCCGTGTAATTTTTTTCTTTTGTTCTTATCTTTCTCTTATTTTATTGAAAATATATTTCAGTTAATGTACTGTTAACATGGCAGTACCACCGTGTAGCGACCTTAAACAATTACTGACGATTTGACCGTGAAGAAAGGAGCGTGCAGGTTATATCTGAACTAACATCTCAATGTGGACGGTAGATTTAAACAATATGTAAATTCATGTACTTACATTGGTGAATAGAAACAAACAAAATATTTGGCGTTTTGATAGACTTGACCATTTCTATCTCCTAAGATGGAGCAGTGATTTAGAGCACATCCGAGACGTGAAGTCCGGGACCATACAATCTACAATTATATACAATAGACATTGGTAACTAACACGTCAGTAACAAGTCCGGGACAATCTACAATTATATACAATAGACATTGGTAACTAACACGTCAGTAACAAGTCCGGGACAATCTACAATTATATACAATAGACATTGGTAACTAACACGTCAGTAACAAGTCCGGGACAATCTACAATTATATACAATAGACATTGGTAACTAACACGTCAGTAACAAGTCCGGGACAATCTACAATTATATACAATAGACATTGGTAACTAACACGTCAGTAACAAGTCCGGGACAATCTACAATTATATACAATAGACATTGGTAACTAACACGTCAGTAACAAGTCCGGGACAATCTACAATTATATACAATAGACATTGGTAACTAACACGTCAGTAACAAGTCCGGGACAATCTACAATTATATACAATAGACATTGGTAACTAACACGTCAGTAACAAGTCCGGGACAATCTACAATTATATACAATAGACATTGGTAACTAACACGTCAGTAACAAGTCCGGGACAATCTACAATTATATACAATAGACATTGGTAACTAACACGTCAGTAACAAGTCCGGGACAATCTACAATTATATACAATAGACATTGGTAACTAACACGTCAGTAACAAGTCCGGGACAATCTACAATTATATACAATAGACATTGGTAACTAACACGTCAGTAACAAGTCCGGGACAATCTACAATTATATACAATAGACATTGGTAACTAACAGGTAAGTAACAAGTCCGGGACAATCTACAATTATATACAATAGACATTGGTAACTAACACGTCAGTAACAAGTCCGGGACAATCTACAATTATATACAATAGACATTGGTAACTAATAGGTAAGTAACAAGTCCGGGACAATCTACAATTATATACAACAGACATTGGTAACTAACAGGTAAGTAACAAGTCCGGGACAATCTACAATTATATACAATAGACATTGGTAACTAACACGTCAGTAACAAGTCCGGGACAATCTACAATTATATACAATAGACATTGGTAACTAACAGGTAAGTAACAAGTCCGGGACAATCTACAATTATATACAATAGACATTGGTAACTAACACGTCAGTAACAAGTCCGGGACAATCTACAATTATATACAATAGACATTGGTAACTAACACGTCAGTAACAAGTCCGGGGCAATCTACAATCGACATATATCATCACTTGTATGTAATGACCTATGTGAAATGTCACGTAGTCACTCACTTGTGTGTAATGACAGAGAGTATTCCCTTACCTGTGTTTTATGACAGAGAGAAGTTCCTTACCTGTATGCAATGAAAGATGGAGTCACACACCTGTGTGTAATGGTAGAGAGGAGTTCCTTACCTGTATGCAATGACAGACGGAGTTACTCACCTGTGTATAATGACAGACGGAGTCTCTCGCCTGTGTGTAATGACAGACGGAGTCTCTCACCTGTGTGTAATGACAGACGGAGTCACACACCTGTGTGTAATGACAGAAAGGAGTCCCTCATCTGTGTATAATGACAGACGGAATGTCTCACCTGTGTATAATGACAGACGGAATGTCTCACCTGTGCATAATGACAGACGGAGTCTCTCGCCTGTGTGTAATGACTGACGGAGTCTCTCGCCTATGTGTAATGACAGACAGTCACTCACCTGTGTATAATGACAGACGGAGTCTCTCGCCTGTGTGTAATGACAGACGGAGTCTCTCACCTGTGTGTAATGACAGACGGAGTCACACACCTGTGTGTAATGACAGAAAGGAGTCCCTCATCTGTGTATAATGACAGACGGAATGTCTCACCTGTGTATAATGACAAACGGAATGTCTCACCTGTGCATAATGACAGACGGAGTCTCTCGCCTGTGTATAATGACTGACGGAGTCTCTCGCCTGTGTGTAATGACAGACAGTCACTCACCTGTGTATAATGACAGACGGAGTCTCTCACCTGTGTGTAATGTCAGACGGAGTCACACACCTGCGTGAAATGACAAACGGAGTCACACACCTGTGTGTAATGACAGACGGAGTCACACTCCTGTGTGTAATGACAGACGGAGTCACACACCTGTGTGTAATGACAGAAAGGAGTCCCTCATCTGTTTGTAATGAAACAAAGGAGTCCCTCACCTGTGTGTAATGACAGAAAGGAGTCCCTCACCTGTGTGTAATGACAGAAAGGAGTCCCTCACCTGTGTGAAATGACAGCCGGAGTCACACACCTGTTTGTAATGACAGAAAGGAGGCCATAACCTGTGTGTAATGACAGGCGGAGTCACCCACCTGTGTGTAATGATAGACAGAGTCTCTCACCTGTGTATAATGACAGGCGGAGCCACAGTGCCCGGTACCCCCACGCCAAAGTGGACGCTCTGCGTACCAGTTGCTGATAGCGTTGTTGATGCTGTATAGGTCATTCACAGCTTGACCAGTGCTGGACACGAATGCTAAGTTTTCTCCGAACCCTGCCATCTGGTGGCGGAACATACAACGGTTGGCCCAGGAAGCGGCCCTCCTCTCCAGCCCCAGGTCGTAGCTCTAGGAATGAAAACAAAAAAGGGAATAATATTGTGAGTTAAAAATGCAAGGAATTATCACCGGACAATAGAGTTACCCTTTCGTCTCTACGTGTATCCGTCCTACATGTACAGGAAGAAACAGAAGATAATATCTAGCTTGTCTCAATACAGTTTAAGTGGTGATACCACGAAATCTGAAAAGTATTCTAAGGTTTTTAAAGCCTAGAAATAATGATAAGCTACACTGTACCATTTCCATTCCATCCGAGTACTTACTGTGTTTTTGCTAATGACACATACAGCTTACCATGAACTGCATGTCTGCGGCTCCTTCACGGGCCCGGAGCACGTTATGGAAGGTCTGGATGTATCCCCTATACTGGGAAATGTCTTGAAGACTTCCGCACATGCTCACTAATGATGTAACTATCACCAATAGACTAGGAAATATATCCATCTTGTAGCTAAAATGTAGAAATAGTTCATTTATAGGTTATGTTTAAAGATATGAGACTCCCAGACGGAGAAAATGAATACAGGACTTCATTGTGTATTTTTTATTTGTCAAAACCTTCCAATTATCGGTCTATCATTGTGTGTGTACGATATACGTCACAATGTGTTATGGTCAGGTGTGGTATTGTCACTGATATACTAGATCGTTATGGTCAGGTTTGGTATTGTCCCTGATGTACACGACCGTTATGGTCAGGTGTGGTATTGTCCCTGATGTTCTAAACCGTTATTGTCAGGTGTGGTATTGTCCCTGATGTACTTGACCGCTATAGTCAGGTGTATTATTGTCCTTGATTTACTAGACCACTATAGTCAGGTGTAGTATTGTCACTGATATACTAGACCGTTATTGTCAGGTGTGGTATTGTCCTTGATTTGTTAGACCGTTATGGTCAGGTGTGGTATTGTCACTGATGTACTAGACCGTTATTGTCAGGTGTGGTATTGTCCCTTATGTACTTGACCGCTATAGTCAGGTGTAGTATTGTCCTTGATTTACTAGACCACTATAGTCAGGTGTGGTATTGTCTCTGATGTACTTGACCGCCAAGTCAGGTGTAGTATTGTCACTGATATACTAGACCGTTATAGTCAGGTTTGGTATTGTCCTTGATTTGTTAGACCGTTATGGTCAGGTGTGGTATTGTCACTGATATACTAGATCGTTATAGTCAGGTGTGGTATTGTCCCTGATGTACTAGACCGTTATGGTCAGGTGTGGTATTGTCCCTTATGTACTATACCACTATGGTCAGGTTTAGTATTGTCCTTGATGTACTAGACCGTTATAGTCAGGTGTAGTATTGTCCCTGATGTTCTAGACCGTTATAGTCAGGTTTGGTATTGTCCTTGATTTGTTAGACCGTTATGGTCAGGTGTAGTATTGTCCTTGATGTACTAGACCGTTATAGTCAGGTTTGGTATTGTCCCTGATGTACTAGACCGTTGTGGTCAGGTTTAGTATTGTCCTTGATGTACTAGACCGTTATAGTCAGGTGTAGTATTGTCCCTGATGTACTAGACCGTTATAGTCAGGTTTGGTATTGTCCCTGATGTACTAGACCGTTATAGTCAGGTGTAGTATTGTCCCTGATGTACTAGACCGTTATAGTCAGGTTTGGTATTGTCCCTGATGTACTAGACCGTTGTGGTCAGGTGTAGTATTGTCCCTGATGTATTTGACCGTTACAGTTATATGCCTGTAACTATTCTCCTCTACATCAGTTCCTTCCGAAGTCTACTTAGCCTTGCGACCAATATAATCGCGATGTATATCTAAGTTTCATTTTCTCCTGAAAATAAGTGTAAGACATTGTGAATTATCTGTCGGTAACTCATTTTTTCTATATATGGCGATCAATCGGTATGTTAAATATCCATCATAGACTAGAAAAACGTATTTAACATTTTAATACAACCGCAGTTTATCGTTTTGTACAGAGAAATATCTTATTTACATTTAGAATCGCACATACTACACAGGATGATAAACATGAAGACAGTATACCATGGAGGAAGTGTTGATAATAAAAGTCTACGCCGTGTAATAATGTTAATGGAGATCAACAATGGAGGTCATAAAAAATACTGTCCATTCACATGTGGTCAGTGAATGACTGGTCAGTGAATGGTCAACGTTTGATACAACTCCTAATAACACTTCCTGGTACATAAGGTATCATCCTAACACTGTCCTAGGGAAATATATACACTGTTCTAGGGAAATACATACACTGTTCTAGGGAAGTACATACACTGTTCTAGGGAAATATATACACTGTTCTAGGGAAATACATACACTGTTCTAGGGAAATATATACACTGTTCTAGGGAAATACATACACTGTTCTAGGGAGATATATACACTGTTCTAGAGAAATACATACACTGTTCTAGGGAATTACATACACTGTTCTAGGGAAATATATACACTGTTCTAGGGAAATACATACACTGTTCGAGGGAAATACATACACTGTTTTAGGGAAATACATACACTGTTCGAGGGAAATACATACACCTTTCTAGGGAAATACATACACTGTTTTAGGGAAATACATACACTGTTCTAGGGAAATATATACACTGTTCTAGGGAAGTACATACACTGTTCTAGGGAAATATATACACTGTTCTAGGGAAATACATACACTGTTCTAGGGAAATATATACACTGTTCTAGGGAAATATATACACTGTTCTAGGGAAATACATACACTGTTCTAGAGAAATACATACACTGTTCTAGGGAAATACATACACTGTTCTAGGGAAATATATACACTGTTCTAGGGAAATACATACACTGTTCGAGGGAAATACATACACTGTTCGAGGGAAATACATACACTGTTCGAGGGAAATACATACACTGTTTTAGGGAAATACATACACTGTTCGAGGGAAATACATACACTGTTCGAGGGAAATACATACACCTTTCTAGGGAAATACATACACTGTTCTAGGGAAATATATACACTGTTCTAGGGAAATATATACACTGTTCTAGGGAAATACATACACTGTTCGAGGGAAATACATACACTGTTCTAGGGAAATACATACACTGTTTTAGGGAAATACATACACTGAAATATATCTAGGGAAATATATACACTGTTCTAGGGAAATATATACACTGTTCTAGGGAAATACATACACTGTTCTAGGGAAATACATACACTGTTCTAGGGAAATACATACACTGTTCTAGTGAAATACATACACTGTTTTAGGGAAATACATACACTGTTCTAGGGAAATACTAGGGAAATACATACACTGTTCTAGGGAAATATATACACTGTTCGAGGGAAATACATACACTGTTCGAGGGAAATACATACACTGTTCTAGGGAAATACATACACTGTTTTAGGGAAATACATACACTGTTCTAGGGAAATATATACACTGTTCTAGGGAAATATATACACTGTTCTAGGGAAATACATACACTGTTCGAGGGAAATACATACACTGTTCTAGGGAAATACATACAGTGTTTTAGGGAAATACATACACTGTTCTAGAGAAATACATACAATGTTCTAGGGAAATACATACACTGTTCTAGGGAAATACATACACTGTTCTAGGGAAATACATACACTGTTATAGGGAAATATATACACTGTTCTAGGGAAATACATACACTGTTCTAGGAAAATATATACACTGTTCTAGGGAAATATATACACTGTTCTAGAGAAATACATACACTGTTCGAGGGAAATACATACACTGTTCTAGGGAAATACATACACTGTTCGAGGGAAATACATACACTGTTCGAGGGAAATACATACACTGTTCTAGGGAAATACATACACTGTTCTAGGGAAATATATACACCGTTCGAGGGAAATACATACACTGTTCTAGGGAAATATATACACTGTTCTAGGGAAATACATACACTGTTCGAGGGAAATACAAACACGGTTCTAGGGAAATATATACATATATATATATATATATATAGTGATACCTCTAACAATAATCACGGTTACTACAATAGTGTTACATCTCTAACAATAATCACGGTTACTACAATAGTGTTACCTCTCTAACTATAATCACTGTTACTACAATAGTGTTACCTCTCTAACAATAATCACTGTTACTACAATAGTGTTACCTCTCTAACAATAATGACTGTTACTACAATAGTGTTACCTCTCTAACAATAATCACTGTTACTACAATAGTGTTACCTCTCTAACTATAATCACGGTTACTACAATAGTGTAACCTCTCTAACAATAATCACTGTTACTACAATAGTGTTACCTCTCTAACAATAATGACTGTTACTACAATAGTGTTACCTCTCTAACAATAATCACTGTTACTACAATAGTGTTACCTCTCTAACAATAATCACTGTTACTACAATAGTGTTAACTCTAACAATAATCACTGTTACTACAATAGTGTTACCTCTCTAACAATAATCACTGTTACTACAATAGTGTTAACTCTGACAATAATCACTGTTACTACAATAGTGTTACATCTCTAACAATAATCACGGTTACTACAATAGTGTTACCTCTAACAATAATCACGGTTACTACAATAGTGTTACCTCTCTAACAATAATCACTCTTACTACAATAGTGTTACCTCTCTAACAATAATCACGGTTACTACAATGAAATGAATTCTCGGTTCATAATATACATGCTGATACATTTCTTCTGAAGTTATCAAATATGTAAAATTATCAATTTTTTTTCAGTTATGAGGCTAGTATATATCTCCGTCTTCAATTTAACACTTCTTACTTTAAATCTTGGTTTTACTCAATCGGCCCCTGAGTTTCAAAATTTAGGCGCTTTGCATCACTGACAAGTCCTCGAATGAAGAAACATTTGCAATGTAATTTGATTCAATAATTCGCTCTGCTGTATGTAATTTGTATTGAAATACACAATCAACTAATTCTGAATTTTTATATTCCACTATTTGAAGAATGGTTTTGTTAATTCTTACCTTACATTTATATATTAACGCATCATCAGCGAACCTCAATCACTCTACTGAAGATAAAAAACAACTCACCTGTATGCTGCATTGATCGTAGTGTCGATGAATGAGTCAGATTGACCTTATATAGGCTGGCGCTTTCATAACCATGTAAGGGGCTGGTTTTTAGTGCATGTCACTACAGAGAATGGTCAGTTTTTAGGTTTGTCATTTGATATGACACAGATTGATATCTCATTAGCTTCGGTAAAACTTTCCAAACTGTTTTTATCAATTGTATCTGAGTAAGAACCTGTCATCGTAGTCATTTACCAGGTAGCGTGAAATATCGTACTCAATCACCAGGAAACGTCAAATATTGTACTCAATCGCCAGGTAGCGTCAAATATAGTACTCAATCACCAGGTAGCGTCAAATATCGTACTCTATCACCAGGTAGCGTCAAATATAGTACTCAATCACCAGGTAGCGTCAAATATCGTACTCAATCACCAGGTAGCGTCAAATATCATACTCTATCACCAGGTAGCGTCAAATATAGTACATTTGTACTCAATCACCAGGTAGCGTCAAATATAGTACTCAATCACCAGGTAGCGTGAAATATCCTACTCAATCACCAGGTAGCGTCAAATATCATACTCTATCACCAGGTAGCGTCAAATATCATACTCTATCACCAGGTAGCGTCAAATATAGTACATTTGTACTCTATTACCAGGTAGCGTCAAATATCATACTCAATCACCAGGTAGCGTCAAATATCGTACTCAATCACCAGGTAGCTTCAAATATCGTACTCAATCACCAGTTAGCGTCAAATATCATACTCAATCACCAGGTAGCGTCAAATATCGTACTCAATTACCAGGTAGCGTCAAATATCGTACTCAATCATCATGAAGCGTCAAATAAAGTACTCTATCACCAGGTAGCGTCAAATATCGTACCCAATCACCAGGTAGCGTCAAATATCGTACCCAATCACCAGGTAGCGTCAAATATAGTACTCTATAACCAGGTAGCGTCAAATATCGTACTCAATCACCAGGTAGCGTCAAATATTGTACTCAATCACCAGGTAGCGTCAAGTATCGTACTCAATCACCAGGTAGCGTCAAATATAGTACATTTGTACTCTATCACCAGGTAGCGTCAAATATAGTACTCTATCACCAGGTAGCGTCAAATATCGTACTCAATCACCAGGTAGCGTCAAATATCTTACTCAATCACCAGGTAGCGTCAAATATCGTACTCAATCACCAGGTAGCGTCAAATATTGTACTCAATCACCAGGTAGCGTCAAATATCGTACTCAATCACCAGGTAGCGTCAAATATCGTACTCAATCACCAGGTAGCGTCAAATATCGTACTCAATCACCAGGTAGCGTCAAATATCGTACTCAATCACCAGGTAGCGTCAAATATCGTACTCAATCACCAGGTAGCGTCAAATATAGTCAGTACTCTATCACCAGGTAGCGTCAAATATCGTACTCAATCACCAGGTAGCGTCAAATATCATACTCAATCACCAGGTAGCGTCAAATATTGTACTTAATCACCAGGTAGCGTCAAAATATACTCTGTCACCATTTGTAGTACTCAATCACCAGGTAGCGTCAAATATCGTACTCACTCACCAGGTAGCGTCAAATATCGTACTCAATCACCAGGTAGCTTCAAATATCGTACTCAATCACCAGGTAGCGTCAAATATCATACTCAATCACCAGGTAGCGTCAAATATCATACTCTATCACCAGGTAGCGTCAAATATAGTACATTTGTACTCAATTACCAGGTAGCGTCAAATATAGTACTCAATCACCAGGTAGCGTCAAATATCGTACTCAATCACCAGGTAGCGTCAAATATCATACTCAATCACCAGGTAGCGTCAAATATCGTACTCAATCACCAGGTAGCGTCAAATATTGTACTTAATCACCAGGTAGCGTCAAATATCGTACTCAATCATCATGTAGCGTCAAATATAGTACTCTATCACCAGGTAGCGTCAAATATCGTACTCAATCACCAGGTAGCGTCAAATATCGTACTCAATCACCAGGTAGCGTCAAATATCGTACTCAATCACCAGGTAGCGTCAAATATCGTACTCAATCACCAGGTAGCGTCAAATATCATACTCAATCACCAGGTAGCGTCAAATATCATACTCTATCACCAGGTAGCGTCAAATATCGTACTCAATCACCAGGTAGCGTCAAATATCGTACTCAATCACCAGGTAGCGTCAAATATCGTACTCTATCACCAGGTAGCGTCAAATATAGTACTCTATCACCAGGTAGCGTCAAATATCGTACTCAATCACCAGGTAGCGTCACATATAGTACATTTGTACTCTATCACCAGGTACCGTCAAATATCATACTCAATCACCAGGTAGCGTCAAATATCGTACTCAATCACCAGGTAGCGTCAAATATCGTACTCAATCATCATGTAGCGTCAAATATAGTACTCTATCACCAGGTAGCGTCAAATATCGTACTCAATCACCAGGTAGCGTAAAATATCGTACTCAATCACCAGGTAGCGTCAAATATCGTACCCAATCACCAGGTAGCGTCAAATATAGTACTCTATAACCAGGTAGCGTCAAATATCGTACTCAATCACCAGGTAGCGTCAAATATTGTACTTAATCACCAGGTAGCGTCAAATATCGTACTCAATCACCAGGTAGCGTCAATTTGTACTCTATCACCAGGTAGCGTCAAATATAGTACTCTATCACCAGGTAGCGTCAAATATCGTACTCAATCACCAGGTAGCGTCAAATATCGTACTCAATCACCAGGTAGCGTCAAATATCGTACTCAATCACCAGGTAGCGTCAAATATTGTACTCAATCACCAGGTAGCGTCAAATATCGTACCCAATCACCAGGTAGCGTCAAATATAGTACTCTATAACCAGGTAGCGTCAAATATCGTACTCAATCACCAGGTAGCGTCAAATATTGTACTCAATCACCAGGTAGCGTCAAATATCGTACTCAATCACCAGGTAGCGTCAAATATATACATTTGTACTCTATCACCAGGTAGCGTTACATATAGTACTCTATCACCAGGTAGCGTCAAATATCGTACTCAATCACCAGGTAGCGTCAAATATCATACTCAATCACCAGGTAGCGTCAAATATCGTACTCAATCACCAGGTAGCGTCAAATATAGTACTCAATCACCAGGTAGCGTCAAATATCGTACTCAATCACCAGGTAGCGTCAAATATCGTACTCAATCACCAGGTAGCGTCAAATATCGTACTCAATCACCAGGTAGCGTCAAATATTGTACTCAATCACCAGGTAGCTTCAAATATCATAATCTATCACCAGGTAACCTCAAATATCATACTCTATCACCAGGTAGCGTCAAATATAGTACATTTGTACTCTATCACCAGGTAGCGTCAAATATCGTACTCTATCACCAGGTAGCGTCAAATATCGTACTCAATCACCAGGTAGCGTCAAATATCGTACTCAATCATCATGTAGCGTCAAATATAGTACTCTATCACCAGGTAGCGTCAAATATCGTACTCAATCACCAGGTAGCGTCAAATATCGTACTCAATCATCATGAAGCGTCAAATAAAGTACTCTATCACCAGGTAGCGTCAAATATAGTACTCTATCACCAGGTAGAGTCAAATATCGTACTCACTCACCAGGTAGCGTCAAATATCGTACTCAATCATCATGTAGCGTCAAATAAAGTACTCTATCACCAGGTAGCGTCAAATATCGTACTCAATCACCAGGTAAAGTCAAATATAGTACTCTATCACCAGGCAACGTTAAATATCGTACTCAATCACCAGGTAGCGTCAAATATCGTACTCAATCACCAGGTAGCGTCAAATATCGTACTCAATCACCAGGTAGCGTCAAATATTGTACTCAATCACCAGGTAGCGTCAAATATCATACTCTATCACCAGGTAACCTCAAATATCATACTCTATCACCAGGTAGCGTCAAATATAGTACATTTGTACTCTATCACCAGGTAGCGTCAAATATCATACTCAATCACCAGGTAGCGTGAAATATCGTACTCAATCACCAGGTAGCGTCAAATATCATACTCAATCACCAGGTAGCGTCAAATATCGTACTCAATCACCAGGTAGCGTCAAATATTGTACTTAATCACCAGGTAGCGTCAAATATCGTACTCAATCACCAGGTAAAGTCAAATATAGTACTCTATCACCAGGCAACGTTAAATATCGTACTCAATCACCAGGTAGCGTCAAATATCGTACTCAATCACCAGGTAGCGTCAAATATCGTACTCAATCACCAGGTAGCGTCAAATATTGTACTCAATCACCAGGTAGCGTCAAATATCATACTCTATCACCAGGTAACCTCAAATATCATACTCTATCACCAGGTAGCGTCACATATAGTACATTTGTACTCTATCACCAGGTACCGTCAAATATCATACTCAATCACCAGGTAGCGTCAAATATCGTACTCAATTACCAGGTAGCTTCAAATATCGTACTCAATCATCATGTAGCGTCAAATATAGTACTCTATCACCAGGTAGCGTCAAATATCGTACTCAATCACCAGGTAGCGTAAAATATCGTACTCAATCACCAGGTAGCGTCAAATATCGTACCCAATCACCAGGTATTGTCAAATATCGTACCCAATCACCAGGTAGCGTCAAATATTGTACTCAATCACCAGGTAGCGTCAAATATCAATCACCAGGTACTACATTTGTACTCTATCACCAGGTAGCGTCAAATATAGTACTCTATCACCAGGTAGCGTCAAATATGGTACTCTATAACCAGGTAGCGTCAAATATCGTACTCAATCACCATGTAGCGTCAAATATTGTACTCAATCACCAGGTAGCGTCAAATATCGTACCCAATCACCAGGTATTGTCAAATATAGTACTCTATAACGAGGTAGCGTCAAATATCGTACTCAATCACCAGGTAGCGTCAAATATTGTACTCAATCACCAGGTAGCGTCAAGTATCGTACTCAATCACCAGGTAGCGTCAAATATAGTACATTTGTACTCTATCACCAGGTAGCGTCAAATATAGTACTCTATCACCAGGTAGCGTCAAATATCGTACTCAATCACCAGGTAGCGTCAAA